ATTTAAATCGCATCATATGACCCCTTTAAGGTTATCATCAGTTTCCTCTAGTTAAAGATTAAGACTGTTTACCTTACAGAAATATTGGTCCAGAAGCAAATAAAAGTTGTTGATCCAGGAAAATATTCTGCATGGAAAAGTCATAATAATATTAGAAGTGATTTATTAAAATAACTTTGTACTTTCATTGCAGTGCTATGTGATGTTGTTTTTGTTGTTATCGAATTAAATCTTCTCATATTTAGATCCCGCATATTTATTTATTATTGTATTTAACAACAGCAAACCCAGAGAGTCACTATGCTAACATGTAAATCTAAAACTCTGATCTAGATAATATAGGGCCTATGATATGCATAGGAAACCCAATTCTGAAAAATGTAAGTTTTGTATTTATTTACTCACCCTCATGTTGCTCCAGACCCATATATATGATGTACTTTCTTCTGTGGAACACAAAATATGTTTAGCAGAATGTCCAAGCTGCTCCTTTTCAATAAAAACGCCACTGGTTACGTGACTAACAACTGCCATGGTCCAGAACTGAAAAGGGTTCAGTAAATTACTTTCTGAAGGCATGTGTGAGGAACACACCGACATTTAAGTCTTAAAATCTCCTGAATCTCCTAGCGCGTTATTGTAAACACATATCAAACAAATTAGCTGTGAGCAAAGTGACATTTCTGATTAAACAAACTCTGATTTGAGATTTTGAATAACACTCATGACTGTTTTGATTCATCTCGGTGACTCGACTCCCTTTCGAATCTGTTCACTGAGGAAATTCGTTCAGAATCCTTCACTGATTCGTTAAGTGATTCCTTCTGCAGGTTATGTCGTTACGACAGTTGAGTTCAGTTGATTCACTAATGATATGATTCATTCAGAAAGCACTAACAAGCTTTCCAAAGAAATAAGTTAGCGAAAAAGACTTTTCCTGACCACAGGGGGAGACACAGCACGTTTAATTTTTCTCAAATATAAGTCTATATTTCTGTGTACTTTATGTTTTTTTGTTTTATATATTTTCTTGTTTAATTATTGTCCACAAGACTGCACAGACTAATAGAATGTATAATTGTTATACATTAATAATATTATTTTGGTTTAATTTAGTTTTTACACATTTTTTATAAATTATTAGATGATGGCAAGCTTTTCTCTTTATTAGTCAAACTCATTTCACAGAATAACGAGTCAAACTGTGAAACTGAATGTTAAACTCATATTTGCATTTGTGATTGTGTTCCTCTGAGAATAGAGAAGATGTTGTTCCATCATGTACTGTATATGCAGGTGTTTTCATGGTCCACTGACTTAAGTTTATTTATAATACGTGAGCTAAACCCCTGATTCAATGAAAGACCTGAAACAAGAATGACAAAAAAGGGACACAGAGTGACAATTATATTTTATTTAATGACTGAATTTTAATCAAATCACACATATAGTCTTGTATGAAGCACACAAAGCAGAGCAGATGCAGATGCGAGCGACTGAAGCTGGATGTGGAGAATGAAGGAGTCGCTCATGTGCTGTTAGTCTCCATGTGAGACATGAGTGAGAAGAGCAGCAGATCTACTCTGAACACTGCTGTCTCGTCACGTGTCCAGTGAGCGCAGGCTGGCCGCTCCGTGTGGCCTCACAGCTCACTGAGACGCTCTCCATCCACTCCTGCTCAGAGAGAGTCAGGCTGCTGCTCCAGCTGTACAGACCGTCCTTCTCCAGGAGCCCAGCGCTGCTCTCCTGAGACCTGCTGCTCCCGTCCACCTTCCAGCTCAGGCTCCAGTCTGACGGGAAGCCCTTGCTGGCCACACACACCAGTGTCGCTGTCTTCTTTGAGGAGATCTCTGCACTGGAGGGCGGCAGGACGCTCACTTTAGGACGAGTGGCGCCTGACAAACACACAACAGTCAACTCAGTGAAGAAGAAAGCATTTCTCTCCTTTCAGCTTCAGAACAAATATATGAACAATTAATACAGTGATAGTCATTTTAGCAACATTAAACTTCAAGTCACCTGAATTAACTTTTACAAAGCCTGTGATCAGCAAAGCAACGAATATTTGGTGAAATATATTGATATATTGAAGAGTCATTTTCATTATCAAATTTAATGTTACTTTGATTAAAAGCATGAAAGATCAGATGTAAATAAATAGACCTGCAGGAATTCATTATAATTTTTGATGACAGCATGAGAAAATCGGGTGCAAAACTTTGCTTTAAAAATAGAAAATAAAACAAAATGTCTGGCATGTGTACTATAACTTTAAAAATAACTTATTCAAATATTATCGTTAACAAAAAATACAATTAAGCAACTTGCAGTTTGAAAATATCTGCAGGCTAATTAAAAATCAACACACTAATCAGAAAATGTAAGTTTAATTACTTTTTTAATTATCTTATTTTATTATCTTTTTTAATCATCACTTAGTAAAATCAAAGTGGTGCCAAAATGACAACCTAATGTAAATTTTATTTCAGTGCATTTAGAATTTAATTATCAATAAATATCAAGTTAACAGAAATGATTATAGTTCACTGGATGAAATAAAAAATGCCATGACAATCAAAACCATCTTTACAATGTTGACTGCCAAACATTCAATGTGAACTAAAAATAAAAAATAGATATATAAATATAAAAATAGATAAACAAGCATGCATTTCTATAGAGCAACAATGCATTTAACAGTCAGCGGTTGTATTAATAATATTAAATTATGATTGACTTACTGCCAACATCCAGTTTGGTGCCGCTGCCGAAAGTCCACCACAGTGATAGAAACTAATAGAACAGCTGAACAAAAACCTCCTGAACGCTTCACTAACTGCACAAACACACATCAACTGAGTCTCCAACAAACACATCCACTCACAGTACAAGTTACCTTACTTTACGTGATTTATGCAGTCTGTATCATTAATAAAGAATGAAACTGAATTTATAGTGTTAACATGCATATATCATGCATAACACAACTCACAATCAAACTCAGTTGATTCAGTGATTGACAGAGACATGTGTGTGTGTGATGATCCTCATGTCTGTTAAAAACCTGCAGGAACATCTATGGATTTGACATAAAATTTATGAATTAACAGTCATGTTTCTATCCAACTACAGTCAAAAATATTCTCAAAGTCTCTCAGGAGAGAGTCAGGATAATACACTAAAGTTGGTATTGGTAGATTTAATCAAAAGTGAATGATCTGATTCAATTTATAAAAACCTCGCTATTAGAAAATGTAATATTATGAAAAAGATTCATTTTTTCTCATTTCAGTAATTGTATTTTGTGTCTGATAATGAGCGACTGTCTTCAGGTAAATGATGTGGAGAGTGTTTGCATATTGATCAGATGCTTCAGTGCTCTGAGAGTGTTTATAGTGCTGTGAGTTTAACACTTCATCACTGACACACACAACAATCTTCATCAACATGACCTTCATCATCATCTTCATCTGGACTCTCACAGCGTTTGCTCAAGGTTTGTGGAGCACAAGTTTGATATGAATTCATTTCTTCAAGTATATTGTCAGAGTTTTGAGTTGATTTTCTTCTTGTTGTGTGTTTCAGAGAGTAGAGGACAGATCAGCGTCACTCAGAGTCCCTCAACGACAGCAGCTCAACCAGAAGAAACAGTCAAAATCA